CCAAAAATCAGAAAGCCACTATAAAACCCAATGAAGTCTTCATCTGATGCTCTGAACAGGGAAAGTTTAGAGTGAGGGTTGACATTTCACATTTAGCATGTTGTTTAACAACTTTTCACGAGCCGACCCTGACTTTCAGGAAGTGAAATGAAAATGGCAGAATAATCTTGAGATAAGAAGATTCACAATCTAGAAATGGAATCACTGCTCTTTTGACAAGTGCCATCTCAGTGGCATCACTGGCAAGTCCAGATTGCCTGACACACTGGTAACCAATGACTGGGGGTCAGGTCCCAACAGGTGTCTGGGCTTAAGGGAGTTAAGTCTATGCTGAAAGACGGAAAGGGAGAAGAGGACATAAAAATGAATTTGTTTTTCCATACCGCAAGGCTTTTGTGTGCCAAGGTGGCCATGTGTGTCGAAGTCAGGGAATCCCTCCTCCTGGGAGCCAAGAGGAAGTCTCTCAAAACTAGAAGGGAAAGGCGTTTCCCCACATCAATCCAGCTTTGGAGACATTCTATTAGTGACATATGCCCCTTCCCCCAAAACAACAATGAAGTGTTCTGTGTGCTAACAACATAGCTTTTTTAAAAAAAAAAAAGTAAAACAAAATTCTGCATTTTTATAAAACTTGATAAAAAATAGTATTTCAAACCGTACAGTCACCAGAAGTACACAGTTATCAAAAATGCACACACTTCACTTGGCATCTCCAGCACCTTTGGCTTTCTGTGCCTGGTCTGTTTTGGCATCTCCATTTTCTGCAGGGTTATTCCCTTCCTTGCCAGCATCAGCTTTTCCCTTTTTCCCTTTGGGTACCTTCTCTCCCTTCTTTGCAGGGGCCTTTTTAGGCTTGGGCTCTGGCTTTGGAGGAGCAGGTTTAGCAGACAACCTCGCGGATCTTCTCTGTGGTTCGTCCTTCACCTTGGCTTTATCTCCTTTAGCATCCCCTTCAGCCTTTCTCTTGGGCATGGTGGCGACGGCAGGACGTAGGCGCTGAGCACGGGATGCAGCGGCGCGTGGGCTTTGGTCAGTCCGGGGGTCGCTCTCGCCTCTTCTTCTTCACACTGCTCCAAGATAGACAATTTTCAAAAGAAAGAAAGATACTATACCACAGATCCAAGAAACTCAGAGAATGCAAACAGAATAATTGCTAAACAAATAAAACCCACCCAGATACATCATGTTCAGTCTACTGAGAACCAACGAGAAAGAGGAGAATTCTTTTCAGATACTATGCAACCTAGATCATGGAGTAAGATTTTTAAGATGTTGACAGACAAAAACTTAACCCGGAATTCTATATCTAGCAAAAATTTCATCCAAAAGTGAAGGAGAAATAAAGACTTTTTAAAGGAAAACAGAAAGTAAGGGAATTCATTACCAGGAGACCTGCACTACAAAAAACAGTAAAGAAACTTCTTAGACAGAAGGAATTCGATATAAGACAGAAACTTGAATCTACACAAAGAATTACAGGAGTGGTATAAATGTAGGTAGATACAAAGTTCGTTTTTTTAAATTTCACTATCTCTAAAAGATAACTTTGAAGCAAAACTAGTAGAAATTTGCTGTGTGTTTATAGCATATGTAACTATAATAACAAATGATGGGGCAGAGGATTGGGAGTATCTAGTTCTAAGATCTTTACACAACATGTGATGTGGTAAAATGGTCTTTGTAAGTAGACTGCAATTAAAGATGCATATTGGAAACCTTTTGGCAGCCATTAAATTGAAAAAAATTATTGTAAAATATACATAAAATTTGCCATTTTAGCAATTTTTAAAAAATAATCATTTATTTTTATAGCCAGGGTCTTATAAAAATAAGACCCTACCCAGGCCGGAATGTAGTGGTGCAATCATAGCTACTGTAACCTTGAAATCTTAGGCTCAAGCAATTCTCCCACCCCAGTATCCTGAGAAGATAGGGCTATAGGCATGGCTGGCTAATTTTTGTATTTTTTATAGAGATAGGGTCTCGCTGTGCTGCCCAGGCTGGTCTTGAACTCTTGGGCTCAAGCAGTCCTCCTGCATGGACCTCCCAATGTGCTGCAATTACAAGTGTGAGCCCTCAATTAATAATTTTTAAGTGCACAGTTCAGTGGCATTAAGTACATTTACAATGTTGTACATCCATCAGCAGAACATTTTCCATCATCTCAAATAGAAACTGTACACTAAATACTAGCTTTCTATTCTGTCCTCCCCTGACGCCCTTGTAACCTCTATTCTTCTTTCTGTGTACCTCACGTAAGAATTGTGTAATATTTGTCTTTTTTTGTCTATCTTATTTAACTTAACACGGTGCTCTTAACATAACTTGCTTTCAGTTTTCTTTTTAGTGGTTACCCTTGAGTTTGCAGTATGAATTTACAGCTACTCCAAGTCCTCTTTCAGATAACACTATACCACTTCACAGGTAGTGCAAATAGCTTATATGAATTCCTCTCATGTCCCTTATAAATTCCTGTCATTCATAAGTTTAGAAGCTTTAATGTTTATAAGCTATAATCACCAAATACTTTGTTGCTATTATTATTTTGAACAAGCTGTTATCTGATAGTTGGGTTAGGATAAGAAAAATTAGACTGAGTACAGTGGCTTGTGCCTGTAATCCCAGAACTTTGGTAGGCCAAGGTGAGAAGATCACTTGAGCCCAGGAGTTTGAGACCAGCCTGATAAACATGGTGAGACCCTGTCTCTACAAAAAAATTCTAAAATTAGCTGGGTGTGGTGGCATGTACTTGTAGTCCCAGCTACTCAAGAGGCTGAGGTAGGAGGATCATCGCTTGACTCCCGGAGGCTGAGGTTGCAGTGAGCTATGATTGTGCCACTGCACTCCATCCTGGGTGACAGTAGATTCTGTCTCAAAAAAAAAAGAATATGAAAAATTAAAGATTTCATTTTACCTTCTTTTATTTCTTTTCTAATGCGCTTCCTTTCTTTATGTAGATCTAAGTTTCTGACTGATATCGTTTTCCTTCTTTGTAAAGAATTCTTGGGCTGGGCACAGTGGCTCCTGCCTGTAATCCCAGCACTTTGGGAGGCCCTGGTGGGAGGATCACTTGAGGTCAGAAGTTCGAGACCAGCCTGGCCAGCATGGTGAAACCCCTTCTTTACTAAAAATACAAAAATTGACCGGGTGCAGTGGCCCACACCTGTAATCCCAGCACTTTTGAAGGCCGAGGTGGGTGGATTGCCTGAGGTCAGGAGTTTGAGACCACCCTGACCAACATGGAGAAAACCCATCTCTACTAAACAATACAAAATTAACCAGGTGTAGTGGCATGTGTCTGTAATCCCAGCTACTCGGGAAGACTGAAGCAGGACAATTGCTTGAACTCAGAAGGCGGAGGTTGCAGTGAGCTGAGATCGTGCCATTGCACTCCAGCCTGGGCAACAAGAGTGAAATTCCATCTCAAAAAAAAAAAAATTAATATTTCTTACAAGGTGAGAATCCCTTAATTTTTGTTTGCCTGAGAAAATCTTTAGTACTTTTTAATGATAATTTTGCTACACACAGTTCTAAATTATTGACTCTTTGCTTTAAATGCCTTTAATATTTCACTCCTCTCTGTTCTTACTTGCATGGTTTCTGAGGAAGGGGAAAAAAAAAGAGTGTTAGAGAAGGATTTTTTTTTTAAATGCAAAAGAAAACCTTTAACTTTCTTCTTCTTTTTCTTTCTTTCTTTCTTTTTTTTTGGAGATAGAGTCTTCCTCTGTTCTCTATACTGGAGTCTGGTGGTGTGATCCTAGCTTACTGCAGCTTTAGGATCAAGCAGTTCTCCTGCCTCAGCCTCCAGAGTACCTGAGACTAGCACCCATCACCATACTGGACTAAATATATATATAATATATATATAATACTTATATATTATATACAACATATATAATATATAATACATATAATATAAATATATCTATATCTGTCTATATTGTGTGTGTGTGTGTGTGTGTGTGTGTGTGTGTGTGTATTGGTAGAGATAGGTCTTGCTATGTTGCCCAGGCTGTTTTCAAACTCCTTACCTCAAGTGAACCTCCTGCCTTGGCCTCCCAAAATGCTGGGATTATGGCATGAGCCACCATACCTGGCCTAATGTTTCTTATTTTTTAAATAAGGACATTATATAATAATAAAGGAGTCCGTTATTCCAGAAGACATAACAGTCCTTAAAGTGTATGCATGTAACAACAGAATGTAAAAATACGTGAGTTAAAAACTGGTAGAACTACAAGGAGAAACAAGTGGGTTCAATATTGTTAGTTGGAAAATTTAACACCCTCCTATCAAAAATGGACAGATCCAGCAGGCAGAAAATCAGTAAGGACATTGTTGAGCTCTGTAACGCCATCAATCAGCTGTGTATAATGGACATCTATGGACTGCTTCAGCAACAGCAGAAGACACATTCTTCTCAAGCTCACACAGCATATTCAGAAAGATAGACCACACGGTGGCCTGGAAAGCACACCTTAACAAATTTAAAATAATAGAAATCATGCAGTGTCTGCTGTCAGACCACAGTGAAATTAAACTAGAAATCAATAACAGAAGATAGCTGGAAAGTCCCTAGTTACTTAGAGATTAAACAACACACTTGTAAATAACACATAGATAAAGGAAGAAATCTCAGGGAAAACTTAGAAATATTTGGAACTAAATGAAAATAGAGTAACATCAAAAACATGAACTGTCTAGGATTAAATGCAAAAAAAACTGCAAAGAGGTTGGGTGCAGTGGCTCACACTGTAATCCCAACACTTTGGGAAGCCAAGGTGGAAGAATTGCTTGAGCCCAGGAGTTTGAGAGCAGCCTGGGCAATATAGTGAGACTTTTTCTACAAAAAAAAAAAATTAAAAAATTAGCCAGGCACGGGAGCACACACCTGTAATCCCAGCTACATGGGAGGCTGAGGCAGGGGGATCCCTTGAGCCCAGGAGGCAGAGGTTGCAGTGACCTGAGATTGTGCTGCTGTACTTCTGCCTGGGTGGCAGAAAGAGACCCTGTCTCAAAAAAAGAAAAAGAACTAGTGGGGAAACATCAATTCATCATTGGTGTAAGGTAAAGACCTTTATACATGAAGGGATACCCCTTATTCATGTAATGAGAGGGTCACTGTTGTGAAGAAGATACCACTTTTCCCTAACTAGGTCTGTAGATTTACTGCAAATTAAATTATATATATTATATATGTTTCATATATATATAATATATATAAACTATATAATATTACCTAAAATTTTTATATATTATATTTATATATATTTATATATAATATATATATTATATATATTAAATATATGTATATGTAAAATTTTAGGTAGACATTTACAGGCTGATTCTGGTTTTTATATGGATGTATAATGGATCAAGGATAGCCAGACACACCTAAAGAATAAGACAAAATGAGAAGACTTGCTGTACTAGATATCAAGTTTAATTAAGATAGTATAGTGCTGTTCTAAGGAAAAGTAAATCAGAAACATATCTACTTTTGTAGGGACACTTGATTTATAACAAAGGTGGTGATGTATAGTGGTTGGGGAAGGTGCTGATTTAATTATATACACATGTTGAAACAGATAAATGCTGACCCATATTTAACTTTCATACATAGAGATTAATTTCAGGTGGATGTTAGTTCTAAATATGATAGGCTTCTAGATAATAATATAGTTTATCATCCTTATGACCTTTAAGAATAGGAAAAGCTTTGTTTAAAAATATAGAAAAAGCAGCTGGGCGTGATGTCTCATGCCTGTAATCCCTGCACTTTGGGAGGCCGAGGCAGGTGAATTGCTTGAGGCCAGGAGTTTGAGACCAGTCTGGCCAATATGGTGCAACCTTGTCACTACTAAAAATACAAAAATCAATCAGGGGTGGTGGCACGTGCCTGTGCTCCCAGCTACTTGGGAGGCTGAGGCACGAGAATCGCTTTAACTCAAAAGGTGGAGTTTGCACTCCAGCCTGGGTGACAGTGAGACTCAAAAAAAAACTCTGTCTCGAAAAAGAAAAAGGTAAAATTAAAGTTTGATTATTTCCTTTCACCGGCGTTTAAAATAATG